TGGCACTCTACCCAGGGGGACAGCTTGAGGCTCTTGTCTCCAAAAAAAGAGCATGAGGTTTCTTTTTAAAGTAATGAAAATGTTCTAAAACTGTGATGGACATTGCACCTAACCTGTGAATACAACAGTCCTTGCCTTGTCCAAGTGATACAGGACAAGTGGCATCCCAGCCAGCTCGTGGAGCTAGGGAGCGAGGACCGGTTGCCTCTGCCCTGGCGATGTTGGTGCAGTGGCAGCAAGCAGCAGAACCAGCAGGCTGGAGGGTGGGCAGGGGGTCCCCATTTCCTGGGCCTGGGAATGAAAGGGACTATATCCATTCATTTGCAACCCAGACATGTTGTTCCAGGCATGTCCCTGACACCAAGTTCCAGACAAGCTAAATGTGTAACTACCAAGCCCCGCTAAATGTAACTCTAAATGTAACTACCGAGGGCCAGACATGTCCCAGACATGATGCCCTAGATACAATGTCCCAGACACCAGACACAATGTCCCAGACAAGCTAAATGTAACTACTAAGCCCCACTAAATGTAACTACCATGATGTCCCGGACACACTAAATGTAACTACCAAGCCCCCCTAAATGTAACTGCCGAGGGCCCCATGCTACTATATATACCCAAAGAGCCTATAGTCAGACAGACAGAGAGAGCACTTTTCTCTCCTGATTCAGGTTTTCTTTTTGCCAGGAGTTGTGGTGTTTCTGTATTCTTTTCTGTAAATAAATCCTGTCTTACCACTGATCTGTGGTCCACGGATTCATTCTTCGAATCACCGCGACCAAGAACCCACTGAAGAGCAAAATTCCACTATCACAAGGAACATGTGTTCCACAACCCACATGGATGCCTCAAACTCCTTATAGTACCAAACCCTAGATATACTATGTTTTTTAATATATATAATACCTATGATAAAGTTTCATTTATAAACTAAGCACAATAAGGGAATAACTAATACATTAAAACAATATACTATAAGCCTGGTGCTGTGGCTCCCGCCTGTAATCCTACCACTTTGGGAGGCTGAGGTGGGTGGACTGCCTAAGCACATGAATTCAAGACCAGCCTGAGCAAGCGCCAAGACCCCCATCTCTACTAAAAATGAAAAACTGAGGCAAGAGGATCGATCACTTGAGCCCAAGAGTTTGAGATTGCTGTGAACTATGACACCATGGACACTCTACCAAGAGCGACAAAGTGAGACTTTGTCTAAAAAAAATACATATGTACACTATAATAAAAGTTATGTGGGCTAGGTACCTATAGCCCAACCGGCTAAGGCGCCAGCCACGTACACCTAAGGTGGCGGGTTCGAACCCCCAGCCCGGACCCGCCAAACAACAATGATGGCTGCAACCAAAAAATAGCCGGGCGTTGTGGCGGGCGCCTGTGGTCCCAGCTACTTGGGAGGCGGAGGCAGGAGACTCGCTTGAGCCCAGGAGTTGGAGGTTGCTGTGAGCTGTAATGCCACGACACTCTACCCAGGGGGACAGCTGGAGGCTCTGTCTCAAAAAAAAAAAAAAAAAAAAAGTTATGTGAATGTGGTCTCTCAAAATACCTTATTATGATATACTCACACTTTTTCAGGGAATGAATGAGATGATAAAATGACTATGAAGTAAGGTGAACGACACAGGCTTTGTGAGGCAGTTAGGTTCCTACTGACCTGCTGACAGTACAATAACTGTGGATCATTGAACCTCAATGATGTCAATGATTAGCATGTGGGTAATATATAAGAGAGAGACATTGGACAAAGGAATGATTCACATCCTTACCCCGACAGGGTGGGATAGGGTAGAACAGGTCAGACAGCAAAAGATTTATTTTTTTTTTTTTTAGACGGAGCCTCAAGCTGTCCCCCTGGGTAGAGTGCCATGGCATCACAGCTCACAGCAACCTCCAACTCCTGGGCTCAAGCGAGTCTCCTGCCTCAGCCTCCCAAGTAGCTGGGACTACAGGCACCCGCCACAACGCCCGGCCATTTTTTTGGTTGCAGCCATCATTGTTGTTTGGCGGGCCCGGGCTGGGGATTTGAACCCGCCACCTTAGGTGTATGTGGCTGGCGCCTTAGCTGCTAGAGCCATAGGCACCAAGCCAGCAAAAGATTTCTTAACACTACTTAGAATAGCACAAAATATAAAACATGAATTTATTTCTAGAACCTTCCGTGTAGTATTTTCAGATCTTGGGCGGCACCTGTGGCTCAGTGGGTAGGGCGCTGGCCCCATGTATTGAGGGTGGCAGGTTCAAACCTGGTCATGGCCAAACTGCAACAAAAAAATAGCCAGGCATTGTGGCAGGTGGCTATAGTCCCAGCTATTTGGGAGGCTGAGGCAAGAGAATGGCCTAAGTCCAGGAGCTGGAGGTTGCTGTGAGCTGTGACACCACAGCACTCTACTGAGGGCGATAAAGTGAAACTCTGTCTCTAAAAAAAATTTTCTAAATATATATATATGTGTGTGTGTGTGTGTGTGTGTATTCCCCCCACCCCCAGATCTTAATTGAATGCAGGTAACTGACAACCATGGAAAGCAAAACCATGGGGAAGGTTGGACTATTATATAACAAAAACCTCTGAACTTTATATGGATGAATTCTATGGTACGTGAATTATATTTCAGAGCAGCTGGGGTTTTTTTTCTTTTCTCCCTGCTCCAGGGAGTGCTGGGCACATTCTTGTTTTTCAGCAAATCATTTTTTTTTAATTGTTGCGGATTCATTGAGGGTACAAGAGCAGCTTTTTTTTTTTTTTTTTAGAGACAGAGTCTCACTTTGTCGCCCTCAGTAGAGAGCTGTGGCATCACAGCTCACAGCAACCTCCAGCTCTTGGGCTTGGACAATTCTCTTGCCTCAGCCTCCCAAATAGCTCGGACCACAGGGGCCCGCCTCAACGCCCAGCTATTTTTTGTTATTGTTGCCGTTTGGGCGGGACTGGGGCTGGCGCCCTACTTACTGAGCCACAGGTGCCACCCAAGAGCAGCTGTTTTAAAAATAAGTGTTATCGGTCAGCACGGTGGCTCACACCCGTAATCCAAGCATTCTGGGAGGCCAAGGCTGGTGGATTCCTTGAGCTCAGGAATTCAGAGACCAGTGTAAGCAAGAGCAAGACCCCATTTCTACTATAAACAGAAAAACTAATCAGGCATAGTGGCCCACGCCTATATCCCTGCTATTTTGAGGTCTGAGGCAGGAAGACGGCTCAAGCCTCAGGGTTTGAGGTTACTGTGTGCTATGGTGCCACTACACTCTACCCAGGCAAAGTGAGACTCTGTCTCAAAAAAAAAAAAAAAAAAAATCATATTTCCAAGAATAGGGGGAGAAACAGAATAGCATTACAATCAATCAACACTTCTCTGAGCGAAAGGCTTCAAAGTGTTACCAAAACTGGAGCCTGAAAGACATCTCCAAAATTAACAGAATTTGACCCAAAATAAGAGACAAGCAAGGAGAGAAGCAATTATGCCCCATACCCCACCTCGCTATATCAACTGAAATACCTAGTAGCTTTCTAATTCAGTACCATTACCACAAAATTTCTAAAATCCACAAGGGTGGTTCTTACATTTCAATGTCAGATCCCCCTAAAATCTTATCTAATAAAAGTTATAAACCTTTTTTCCCACTCCATTCCCAATACATAAACCAATTTTTCCTCCAATTACAGATAGTGAGATATAAATCCCCTGAAACTGGTCCAAAACCCTAAATTCAGAAACTATGCTCTAGATTCTGAGATCACTTATAGAAAAATACCTCTATCTACAAGACATAATTAAGGAGCCTCTCATAAATTCAGGTTATCTAAACTGATTATCTTCTTCCTTAGCTGAACTCACCAAAAATCGGTTTTCTTTCTATAAACTCCCCATTTGTGTCAGTGATTCCTTTCATCCCATCCTCACTGGAGACCCGCAGGTCAAAAATCCGTAAGACATATTCAACCCCCATTTAGCTCACAAGATAAACTTCTTGTCACTAAACAAAAAAGCCTCTGATGTTAATTCCGGGCCGCTCCAGACTGCCCAGGCCTCTCAATCTCTGACCCAAAATACCGCTCCGTTGCTTCCTAACCAATGCAATACACTGTATTGTGGGCACTGTATTTACTGGAATTACAGAACTAAAAATATATTGTCTACTCTCAAGAAGTTTACAGATAATGGAGGTAAGCATAAAATCAGAAATTCAAGGGCAACGTGGAAAGATGCGTAGGAAGACTCCTCAACTCAGGCAGAAAGTCAATGAGAGAAGGATCTTGAAAACCCAGCCAAAAACCAATTTCCCAGAAAACCCTAGTTGACTTTCTAACTCGTAGGGTTAGTTTCAAAAAACAGCCCTAGTTGCCAGGCTTTGTCCTTCAGATGTTCTAAGTGTTTATGCGAACTGTCTCCCAAAATAGCTGCGAAATTCCCTTGGGGCAGAGACCGTAACGGATTTATCTATTTCCTTACACTGCCATCTTCTGCCTTACGCACAGCAAGAATGCGATCAATACTTGTCAGTGAGCCAAAAAAGAACGAGCAAAAAAGAAAAGTCACATAAGCTAATGGGGGTGGCTGGATTACGCACACTTAGGTAACCGGTTCACATGTCAAACGCACAGACGCACCCATAATTTCAGAAAAACAAACCGTATTGCTGTACGAAAGCCACATCTGCCACACGCAGCTATTACGCTGCTCAGGGATGAGAAGGGGTGGGAAACGGACTGGAAGCCCCCACCCCCACCAGAACAAAAACTAAGGGCTCCTTTCAGTCGCCTAAACCCCGCGCAGACGCCTCGGCAACCAGCCAGCCCCGGGAGGCGACTGGAGCGCTAACACGCCGCTTCTCCCCGCCCGGCGCGCCCCCGCCACGGAGCGCTAGGCGAGCGCGTGGGGCCGGCCAGGGTCTGCCCGGAGCTTCCCTTCTCCCTCTTCCGCGTACCTGCTTGGCCAAGAACCTGCCCAGCTCGCTGCGGCTCTTCTCGTTCTTGGCCGCGATTAATCGCAGCGGGGCGGCCACCACCTCCAGCAAGAGGTGCTCCATGACCCCACGCTCACCACCGGACCAACGCCACCTGCGCTCCCGCCAAAGCCCCAGCGTCCGGGCCGCTACCGACTACGCCCCCACGGAAAGCGCCCGGTGCTACTCGGCGGGCACCAGAGAGCCACAACACACGTGGGTGAGCACACGGCGCTTAGCGTCATCAGTCGGCGACAGAAATGCGGGGCGCTTCTGGCCCCGCCCCCTCAGGGCAGAAATGCCAGGCGTCACCACGCGTCATTTCCGGGAGAGGAATCCGAGCGGACAGAGATTTTCTCAGCCGGTGCCGATGCTTGAGGCAAGTGAGACTCCCAGACAGCTCGTGGCTGGACAGATGGACGATTACGCTGGGGGAAGAAGGCAGGCGACGAAGGATTTATGATTCATCCCACCCCGCGCCTCTGACCCCCTCACTTAGCAACTTGAGAATAAGTGTGACAAGAATACCCCCTGCAGTTGTCTCAATAAAAATAAATGGAAGTAAATGTTCAATTTGGGAATATTTAAAATATGACATACAGGCTCTTTCCCTGTAGCTCAGCGGCTAGGGCGCCAGCCACATACACAGGAGCTGGAGGGTTCGAATCCAGCCGGGCCTGCCAAACAACAGTGACAACTACAAACACAAAGAAAAGCAAACAACAGCCGGAGTGGCTCAGTGGGTAGGGCGCCGGCCCCACATACCAAGGGTGGCGGGTTCGAACACAGCCCAGCCAAATTACAACAACAAAAAAACAGGCATCGTGGTGGGTGCCTGTAGTCCAGCTACTCTGAGGAGGAGGCAAGAGAATCACTTCAGTGGTTCTCAAGCTTCTTAATGCCGCTGGCTGTAATACAGTTCCTCGTGTTGTGGCAACCCCCAAACCACAGAATTATTCTCGTTTTGCCAAGAGAACCACTGGCTTAAACCCAAGAGTTTGAGGTTGCTGTGAGCTGTGACACCCCAGCACTCTACCCAGGGCAACGCTTGAGACTGTATCAAAAAAAAAATAATAATTAATACACACACACACACACACACACACACGAGATACACAGCCGGGCGCAGTGGCTCCTGCCTCTAATCAGCACTCGGGGAGGCCTAGGTGGATGGATTGCCTCTGCTCACAGGTTCGAGACCAGCCTGAGCCAGAGCCACAGCAAGACCTCATCTCTGAAAATAATGTGGTACCCCCATGACCTGAAAAGACAGAGGCAGATCCACTTAGATGTAATTAATTGGTAATTTATTTTACCTGCTGCAGGGGCTGCTGCTCTGTGAGGCAGTCAGCAGTGAAGTAGGGAGGTGGGTTGCCTTTTATAGTTTGTAGCAAGTTTGCTCCTACAGAAGCAAAATGTGGCTGGTTAGGGAGGGTTACAGCTTGGGTAGTCATGGATACAGCAATGGTTACAATCATGTAACAATGATTAATACGGTTTTAATTGACGGTGGATATATCTCAAATTACAATAGTTATAGTTAGGTAACCATGATTAATACAGCCTTGGTGGATCTCCACCATTGTTCACTCACTGAGAACTTGGGCGGTTTGTACTTCCTTGTTCTGAAGTCTGTTCTTGGCAACCCTAGGGGGAAGGAGGGAGCCTGGGAACACGGCTGGGAAGCACATTCTCAGCCACCCTGGGGAGAGGAGGGACTTGCCTTGTTCCCTGAGTCAACTCTGGGGAACCGGGGAAGAGGAGGGAGATGGGCTGGGAAGCAAGTCACAGCTAGTGTTGTGGACAGCTGGGTGTTGTGGACAGCTGGGCATTGTGGACAGCTGGGCGTTGTGGACAGCTGGGTGTTGTGGACAGCTGGGCATTGTGGACAGCTGGGTGTTGTGGACAGCTGGGCATTGTGGACAGCTGGGCATTGTGGACAGCTGGGCGTTGTGGCCAACACCTGTAGTCCCAGCTATTTGGGAGGCTGAGGCAAGAGAATCCCTTAAGCCCAGGAGTTTGAAATTACTGTGAGCTGTGATGCCACAACACTCTACCCAGGGCAACCAAATGAGACTCTGTCTCTAAAATAACATAAAATATTATATTCACATTATATACTATTCTGAAGACATTAAGAAGAAAAGTACTCAAAAGGTCATTTACATGTGTATGAATGTCAAGAAGAAGCCTGGAGGACCTATGGAAATTTTTTTTTTTTTT